GCCTCTCGTGGGAAGCGCGTGCGCGCACGTCACCACCCTGCACGCTGGCCAATGCTCAGGAGGGAAGAAAACACGCAGACACAATGAATCGTCGATTCCCCAGCAAAGATGGGAAAATATGGGAAGTGGGGGGGGGAAGACGAAAACCCAACAAATATAAGAAAATGTAGGGAATCCTGTTATTTGTGTGTATTTGTTTATGTGTCCCAGGGCCCCTTCAGATGCGCTTCTCGCTGCCCCCGTTCAGCTCCCTGGCCGGTGCAGCCATCCTGCCTCGCCGCCGGCGGACACGGGTCCGGGGGCGCGGCTCCGACGAGGGCCGGCACGCCAACCGTTGGGCAGTGCACGTGGCCTCCACCGGCCTTCCCCCGGGGGCCCGGGGGCTCCCGTGGCTCTCTCTTGGCCACCCCGGGGCTTCTCTCTCTTTGGGGTCTTTCGGGGGCCAGCCGAGAGCCTCTGCGCCGAGGGCGGTGTGCTGGCTCACGGCGGAGCAGGAGAAGCAATCGTAGGAAGGCGTGGTTCGTGGCCAAGCCGCCTGCAGGAACGCGTGGTTCGCGTTTTCCTGCATCTCGCCGTGTCGTTCTCGTTCGATGCACTCGCATCTCTGAAATGTAGAAACGGTGTTTCGTGATTCCCTACATTTAGTTTTGCGTGAGCTCGGTGTCACAAAAACCAGACTCCCAACCGCACCGTTAACCAAGCACGCCGTCAGCGCGGCCATGGGGCACGGAGTGTGCGAGGGGAGTGCCGAATCGAAGCCCGTCTCGAGGAGCCCGTCTCGAGGAGCCCGTCTTGAGGAGCCCGTCGAGGACCCGTTGGGCCGCTCTGGGGCTTCTCTCTGGGTGTTTCGGAGGGCCAGCCGAGAGCCTCCCGGGGGCCCATGGGGCACGGAGTGTGCGAGGGGAGTGCCGAGTCGAAGCCCCCCTGTGCGAGCCAGTCTCGAGGAGCCCGTCGAGGACCCCCCGCCTTTGGGCTTGTCACGAGGCACGCTGTGCGTGCGAGGCGTGCCGCGCATCGAGGCCACCCTCCGCCGACTTCTGTGGGGGGCCAGTGGGGAGCGCCCAGTGCCAAGTCAGGCCTGTCCCTCTGCAGGGGGAATGTGCGAGAACAGTCAAGAAAAGGAGTACGGGGACGATGTTTTGACAATTGTTGGCTATTTTGGGGCCCGTGGAGCGCCCAGTGTTGAGTCGGGCCTGTTCCTCTACAGGGGGGATATTCGAAAATAGTAAAAAAATAATCCTGGGACGATTTTTTGACCACTGTTGACGATTTTGAGTATTTTTTGGCTATCTTTGATTTTTCGTCCAAGATCCCCCTGTAGGGGGACATGCCCAGCCTAAGCTGGGATCCGTGGGGCGCGACGTGTGTGACGAACCGCGCGAGGGAAGCCGGACAACGCAGGCCGCTGCTGTCGCGTCGCGCGCAGCGGGCGGCACGCCGCGCGCCGGCCGGCCGTCCGGCCTGGGGTCACGCTGGCGTGCAGTCGACCGCGGAGGCCGAGAGACTCGGGGCGGACGAAAGGGGGGGGATTGGGAAAGGGGGGTCACGAAATTTGCCGCATGCAGCTGGTTTCGGCCCCGCCGAGGGGTCCCTTCCTCGATACGTGGCCGCCTCCCGGCGCCGGGAGGCGCCGGGAAACTCAGCTGCGTGAGCTGATGCTCACCCCCCCCCTTTGCTATCCCCCCCTTTCGCCCGACCCGAGAGACGGCCGGAGGCGTGCAGAGTCCCTGCTCCTCGACCTCGAGGGCATCGTGGGCAGAGCTCGGCAGGCCCACTGACGTGGCGCCCTGTCGACCTCCCAGCCCCCCGAGGGGTCGACCTCTGCAATCCGCGGGCCCCCAGGGATCTCGAGTTTCTTGTCTCAGGGGGCCGACGTGTCGTCCTGCGTAGTTTTCCGATGGCCCTGGAGCTCGGCAATAGCCCCCCAAGCTGACCATGGTGAAAAGCCTCCCCAGTAGGTTCGCTTCATGTCGACCGGCGGCGACCCTGCTGCCGTTGTTCAACGTTGAGCGCCGCCAGCGACCCTCGAGTCGGTCGTTGTTTAACTTTGGGAAACGGCCGATCGTGCAAGGTGGAACGCGCCCCGCGGTGTCAGGAACCGGCGCCGAAGTCGGCACGACACGAACCTGCTCCACCCATCTGCTTTGCCTCCTCGCCGTCTCGCGGCCCGTTTGCAGCGCATTTACTCGTCGACATCGCGGCTCGGCGGCCGTCCTGTTTTCCTCCGTCGCACGCTGCGGAGCAGCTTCGCTGTGGTGATATACAGTGCTTTAGGGCGAGGCGTTCAGTCGCTCTGCGTTCTCAGACCTCCGACGTCATGATCTTTTCATGACGTCGACCCCCACAGGGCTCGACCCATTCCCCGGGACCAGCTCTTCGGCCCGAGTAGTTTTTTGGACAGCCCCGAGGCCCAGCGAGGGTCCCCCGGGGCCGAGAATGTTGAGAAGCCTCCCGTCTTGAGTTCTTTGTGTGTGTGTGTGTGTGTGGCTCGAGGGTGTCT